AAAATTGTATTTTTCATCATTGCTACACTGCACCCTGATTGACTCGTCTCCTCCCCGCAGCCCTTCTGCAAGCAGATATCCAATTTCCCACAGGTGGGCCCTGGGTCCCCACTCCGCACTCCCCCTCATTCACAATGCTATGATTTTATTTGGTCTTTGATGCCGGATTCCTGAGCTCTTCAACGCCTTTTGATCTCACAGGCTGTGATGCTTCTTCCATGTAGGTCTTGTTGTTTCTCAGCTAGATGGCCATTTGTTTATCTTCAGGCCTTTAAGACCTCAGATGCTATATCTTTTTATAGCTGGGCACCATCAGCTTTCTTCATCACATTTGCTTGTGCACCTGTTGTCTTCAGTGATCGTGCCAGGAAGGTGAGCATCAGACTGCCGAATTGTTAGAACAAAGTGTTCTTGTGTTGAGGGAGTACTAGAGTAAGAGCCCACTGTCCATCTGTTTCCTTAATACTAAACCTATAAATATATGTACATAGACCTATTTCCTTCTCTTCATATATAAATATATTTACATCTGTATATGCCTGTATTTATATCTCTATAACTGCCCTTTGCCTCCTAGTTCTTTCCTCTATTTCTTTGTACTTTCCTCTTGTTCCACTACCAAGTTTAGCGTTCATTTGGGTTTCAGGAATTCCACTTAATTACATTGTCCTTGATCCAGCCCTGCCAGACCTCCTACACCCTCCTTGCCACTGATTTTGAATCACTTGTTGTTCCCTTGTCCCTGGGTTTGTTAACACCTACTTCCTTTCCCCCGCCTCCCCTACTCCCATGTCCCCCAGGAACTGTCATCCCATTGGTCTCTCTTCTGGCTTGTATATCCCACCTATCCCTTCCAGGTAGACTTGCAGCGACAACAATATGCACCATCACAAGACCAAGTACAACAAAGCAACAATAGAAATGAAACAATAGCTGTAACAACAACAAAAAAAAAACAACCCTATAAATAGTTCAGGGTCTATTTCTTGTCCTTTACAAGTGCTTTCCATGCCCTGGCCCCACATCTATCCCTGGGGGCTTCATTGCTCTGCTCCCGCCCCCACTCCCCCACCCCACTGCTCTGCTGTAGGCCCCCAGTGGCTGGCTTTGGTGTAGTGGGCTCAGGGTGGGCACAGTTCCTGCCGTGTGTCTCTAGTGTTGTCCCCCATGGTG